TGAACGTGACAACGTCATAAGAAAATACTGATGGAATGGTTTCATTTTTCAAAAGAAAATTTTAATTTTATTTGTTTGATAGATATTTTGTATGGATATAGAGAAGGAGGTAAACGAAAATGTATTATTGTATAGCAGCTGTCCACGCGGACGCATCGCTCACTCAAGTAGGAGAGAGAGATGTCGAACGCTGCCGGACGCGGAGGCCGATTCTGCCTCTTTGTCGCTCGTGCCGCGCTCTCGCTTGCACTTCAAGCCTTAAATGGAACGCCTCAGATTTAGGTAACGCCGCATGAGTCATGTTTTTTCGTGCGTGCAGCCAGCTCCATGGAATTATAAGACGTTGTCACGTCAATAACGCACAAAAAAATTGCATATTTATTCCTCATAATGCCATTTCGTCATCAGACAGGTACTCTACTTACAGAAAATGTGTAAAACACATAGAATTTTTTTGTGAGCGATAATTTTAATTATATTGTCCCTCGTCTTTTAATAATATTTTTTTATATTTCCCATCATTGCTTACTTTTTACTAAGTAAAGAAACAATACATCATTAAAAAATATATAACGGTTGGACACTACTTCTAAACAATTAGGTACTTACCTTGTTTCTCACAGCAGTATATTATGCATTTTATTGAGCTACCATTTCTTCATGTGCAAGGTCCACTGCAAATCAATTAAAATGATATTAACGTATTATGATAATTTTCTTGCAATTTTAAAAAACTAACGGGACATGTTGTTATGTATCGTCTTCATTTATTATTACTATTACGTTACTTATTTCCTGTTTGCATGATTAGATGTTATAATATGAATAATAATTATTTAAATATTAGTCAGATCGTTTACTTGTTGTTTTTTAATCAAATTATTTTATTAGCATGACAATATTTTTATTAGCAGATATTTTTATCGGACACATAATAATAATTATTTATTTATTAGTATTATTAGGAGGGAAAAATTAAAAACAATTATTTTATAATTGAATTTGTATTTGTACAGATTTTATTTTCCAAACCAATTAGATTTGTCCTTCACGGTATGTGGGTTGAAATTGAATAGTGCAAAATTAATTAAATCGTTGTGTGGGTGATTTTTTATTTCGAAAAATGCATCATAATTGTCTATTTAATGACATAGCAACCGTGCTCACAGCCCTTACATAGATATCTACAGTCAAACTCGATTATAATGAAATCGAGTTAAAACGAACGCTTGGTTATAATGTTAAACATGTACTATTCACATTTGGATAAAACCAATACTCTTGTAACGAACGATCGGCTTTAGCGAACGTTTTTGAACATGATATTAGCGGTTCTATCGGTTGTAACGAACTAATGAATTAATTTTTGTTTTATTTGTGTGTTTCTAAAATAAATGTTATAAAAATTGGAGATATTATTTAATGAAAATCGTCAATAACCGACATCTTGCTTTAACGGATAAAAGAGGTATTCTCTTCGTGCTCGTTATAAGAGAGTTCGACGGTATTTAAAAAATGCTCTACTAGAGGAAAAAAATTTTTACTAATTGCAAATAATTATAATAATAATTTTTCAGACTTTCACAAATTAACTTATTTATCATGTAAGTGCAAAAAATAAATTGTTGCAATTTTTTGTCTATTCGTAGATATTGTAGAGTTTAAAAACAGTCTTAATTAAGCAGTTGACAGTTAATTTTAGTCAAAAATGCATTTTTTTAATCCGAATAAATATCATCATAAGGTTTTTGTACTACTGATTTGTTCAGCAGAATGTTTAGCAATTTACAATTTTCAGACATATTTAAGATATTTTATAATTTGGTGCTTTGAAATTAATAGTTTTATTAAATTATTTTGGATTTATTTGTCTCGTTTGAAATAAGTAGCGACAAGCCACTTACCTATCTAAATTTCACTAACAATAAATTAATTTTCTTTCCTAATAAATAAGCAAATATCTTTGGTAGAAATTGCACTACTTTTTTTTTAATGTATCACAAATTCTTCACGACCATAATTTCGTTTAAGTACACAGTAAATATAAACTTTCTTGAATTTAGTGTACATAAAGTCTAAGGAACAATAAGTTTCTCAAAACACGGTTTTTCGGCGATCATCAATTGCAATGGTACATGGCACAGGTACAATAAATATTGTGAGATATAAAACAAAAGCAAGTCAATGAATAAAAAAGAATTTAATTTTGTCCGTTTGTCAAACTACAGTTTGTTTGTGTGTATAGAAAATTAATAA